AAATGATAAATAATGAAAACCAGGCGATCAATCTTCCGAGTCTTCGGCGCCTCCGATGTAGAGGATGTTGTTGCACCTAGATTTAAACAAATTAGACAAAAGTCACACTAATCACCTTATTAAAATTTCTCCCAAAGCTCCAGTGTTTGTTCCATCAATGTATTCCTCCGCGTTAGCCATCTAAAAGATAAAAAATTTAATTTGTGAATGCCCAGGCCTAAGCAAGCTTACTCGTCATATATCTGACTGTTCACAAGCGACATAAAAACTAACAAAATTCAGAACGTACCTCTCCAAACTAGCTTTAAGCTATGCCATAAAAACTGTACACAAAGACAACCCCACCTGGACATTCATGTAACCGTCGACCGAGATGAGGACGCCTCGATATTCCTTTCCCCATCTCATCTGCACACAACTGGCTTCCTGGCGAGTCCATTGAGGAACGGCTTTGGGTTGACTGGTTGAACAGACATTCTCTGAAAACAAAATCAAAAACGAATTTAAGTAGATAAAGCGTTAAAAAGAGCAAGATTGACGCGGGAAGGAGTCCTCATAAACAAAAAGAACGGTTTTTCGGAATAATTTTTGGAAGAAAAGGATTCGAATACAAGACAGGCATATAACTAGGCGCTTTATGGAGGAACAGTGTGGTTTTTGCACGAGGGAAGAGAAAGGGTGACAGAAATAGAAAGGCGTAAGAATGTAAGATTGGCTAATTCAAGTGCACGCGAAAAATAAAATAATTGCTCGACTGAACATTTTTAAACCACTAGAAGTAGGTTAAAGATATTCAGATAAATAATGAACGCCTACATTTACTGAAATAAAATGTTTATGAGAGTGCTTTTTGAGAAATTTTCGGCGCCAAACCTTTTTTACACCTTTTTTTAAGCATTTTTTTTTGTTTTAGTGATACTAGCTGAACGCCTCTTTCTTCATCTCATTATTTTACCTCGTCATAAAAACATACAAAATCATTTAAGCAATTTTTCAAGAGGGCGATACTGGCTTACCCCATCCCCCACTCAAAATTTTGCTCATCTTGTACAATTTGATAGAACCGGATTTGAAGATTGAGGTATATTTTAAGTTTTGAAATAGATTTTAGTCATTAAGCAATTTATTTTGGTACTTTGGTATTTGGGAGAGGCCACTTTTATCCTGGCTTGGTTGGATCTAATGTTTTTTATCTAATGAGTCGTTGTATATCGATGCCTTTTAACTACCGTAAATACTGTAATAGTACCCCACCCCCATAATGACGGTGCGGAGTGTTGCGTAGTCTAGCTTTGAACGAGTTTTTCTCGACACTGGTTTATGCTACAATGCGCGCTTAGGTATCAAAAAATAGCCCTGAATTTCAGCTATTTTTTGATACCAAAGAGGCATTTTTTGAAAGTACGGGCGCTTTGAAAAAAATGAAATACTAAAAAGCTTTTGCGATTACGCGACTGTACGAGGGGGGCTGGGGTCCCATTACAGTATTTACGGTACCTGTCTTGGCGTAATCAAATATGGCTATACTTTTAGAGGATTGACAACATGTACCAAGTTTCATATTGCCGTTTTTATTTGATTTTCAAGTCTAAGCAGCTTTGGGGTAGCACTTGGTGGTTAAAGTACATGAGGTTAGGCTAGAAATGCCAAAATTTGTCATCAATCTATTAAACATGTTTGATTACCTTAGAATAGGTAAAAGGTATCAATACAACCACTCAAAACATTAGATCCAACTAAGCCAGGATAAAAGTGGTTCTTCCCAACCATCAAAGTACCTTTATTTTTTATACTTAACTATTGGGTTGGTGAATTGAAAACTGCCGGCTATTTCGCGGGACTCGCAGATAAAAAAAACAACAGCTTTGAACCAGCTGAAAGGGGGTTTGGTAAATTCAACATTTCCTCAAATTATTGCGAAAAAATTATGCTTCCAGCTTTTTATTTTTTGGTATTTCTCTTCACTTCTTCTATAGCACTAGACAATTTGCCACCATATTCGTCATGTCATGCTTCATGAGTTCCTACAAAAGCAGAGTGCAGGCTTGGCAGTTGCTAATATTAAAAAGATATATGGGGAGGACTCACCTTCCGAAAGAAGGTGTCGACTATGGTTTACCAAGTTTCGATCTGGAGACAAATCTTTGAAAGATGCAGAGGGCCGTGGAGCGGCACCCCAACTGGATGATTCCAAATTACTCGAACTCATTACCAACGACCATCGGGTATCATCGCGTGAATTGGGAGAAGAGTTAGGGGTTGATCAGGCTGTAGTGCTAAATCGCCTTCATACCCTTGGATTTAAATAGAAACTTGGGAGTTGGGTGCCCCATGACCTCACTGACCCCCAGAAGTGGCAGCGCGCCTCCATCAGTGCCGTTCATCTCTCACGATACGAAAGGAAATCCTTTCTTCCTCGAATTGTGGCTGGAGATGAGAAATGGGTTTTACCTGTGAACTTTCGAAGGAAGCGACAATGGGTGAGACCAGACGAGAAACCCGAAAGTGACCCCAAGCCCGATTTGCACCAGAAGAATTTTATGCTCTGCATTTTCTGGGATATGGAGGGACTGGTGTACTGGGAGTTGCTGGATAGCAAGACGAAAATAAATGGAAAGGAGGGGAACGCCCGATTCTTTTAGTGATCAGTTGTCAACCAAAAACAATCAATATTCATTTCAGCCAAAACTGAAGACGAAAACTGCTACAAAACAACAATGATTTGGGATAAGAAATAGAAGGAGGACACTCAGATTTCCTCTATAATTTACCAATATTTAGACTACCAGGATTAGAGAACTATTTTTAGTGGCTATCCCCCCACAGTAATGCCTTTTTCAGTCATTTTCGAAATGGCAGGCTCTTTGTGAAAAAATGATTCGTTTGACTGATAGCTCTTTGATAGAGATCATAGTTTGAATTGAAAAACTAGAATAATTTTAAAAGGTTTAATATTTTAAGAGTCATATCGTTCACCAAAGCCAAGTTCTGTCGCATTCGTAACAATGGCATCTCTACGGGCTCTTCTACTCGTTTGGATCAAATGGATCCTGTAACTAAAACCGAATTCCAGACTCTCTGTCTACTGGCCTTTTCTCATCTCGTTGAGGGATTACGGTAAACCTAGATATGCATAAATTAGGATGACAATAAGTGATTTTTCAGTGGCAGTGGCCGAATCAGTGTGCCACGAGGTAGGGTGAATCGTCCGGTCAAAGTCCCCAGACTCGAAAGAAAACTCAGGTGTTTAGTCAATTGAAGTCACTCAAAGCAACCAATTTCAATCAGCCGAAACCCTTCCAATTGCCCATTCCGGATAAGGGAATTCATCATCGGCAGTTAGTGACTTAATGCCTGTAAAAGTCAATCTGAGAATGTTCAGGGAGTGCAAGACGCCGAACAACGTTTAACCAAGAGGACACAGCTATGATCCCGGATATCGACAGAATCACGATCAATATGTCTAGTGTCAAACAGACAACAAGAAATAGTAGTTCATTGCTTTCTAGATCAAAATACGTTGGCAAAGAAGGATACAACTCGATTCACTACCCGGCAATCAATGAGTGAGTGATTTGGAAGAATCTCAAAACTCAAAACCCACAGAAAGCCATCTGCTCATCTTTTGCCTCCACGTGCCAACGACTACACGGCCCCCAAAAATCCCTTCGAGAAATTGTGAGTCGATTCGTGAAATTACATCAACATCAATTACCCTAACAACCCTTTCACAATGTTCTTCCCCAACTTGCCGAAACATTTGCCGAAAACCTAAGAAGAATTTCATTCGTTTCGACCATTTGCAGAGTGATCAAACCAAATTTTGCCGATCATCTCATGAAGAATCCGGCTCCAATTGGTGGCAGAGAATAGTGACATCGAGTACAGCCGTCAACTGCCCGAGAATCCTGGATATCGATATGTGAGGTTTGTTTGAATGTTGGAAAGCTTCAGCCTATCTATTCAATCCAGTCGTGTATCGGGTTCCGGACATCGTGACGATCGCATTGACAGAGAGTCTGGAATTCGGTTTTAGTTACAGGATCCATTTGATCCAAACGAGTAGAAGAGCCCGTAGAGATGCCATTGTTACGAATGCGACAGAACTTGGCTTTGGTGAACGATATGACTCTTAAAATATTAAACCTTTTAAAATTATTCTAGTTTTTCAATTCAAACTATGATCTCTATCAAAGAGCTATCAGTCAAACGAATCATTTTTTCACAAAGAGCCTGCCATTTCGAAAATGACTGAAAAAGGCATTACTGTGGGGGGATAGCCACTAAAAATAGTTCTCTAATCCTGGTAGTCTAAATATTGGTAAATTATAGAGGAAATCTGAGTGTCCTCCTTCTATTTCTTACCCCAAATCATTGTTGTTTTGTAGCAGTTTTCGTCTTCAGTTTTGGCTGAAATGAATATTGATTGTTTTTGGTTGACAACTGATCACTAAAAGAATCGGGCGTTCCCCTCCTTTCCATTTATTTTCCGTGATAAGAAATCCCTATTTTGCTTGGAAACAAATTTCTTGTTTGATTTTGTCTTTTCTCATCAATTCTGCTTATTTAGTAGCCTTCCCCTTTCATTTTCACTAATTCTACGGGAAAATTCAGTCAGTTTGTAGGCATCCAATCGTCTAGCAACCGAAATGGACAATCTCTCGAATCTTCCTCCTCGATGTCTTCAGAGCATCTCTTCTTTTTCCAAATCAAAAATCAGACATGAAACGGAATAAGAACTTCGATTAGCTATCGAGCGGTCATTAAATTGCGTCTGATCTGTCTTCAAAAATTGACTAGTGTTCATATTATTTTCGTAAAAAGCTATTGCCAACAAACTCAAAATTTTAGCATCTTATAAATTTCTAGCACCATAAATCCTTCAAAAAATTTTATAAATTCCTCAAATTCACCAACCAAAGGCAGAAACTCTCCATTTGGTCGATTTTTTTCTTGTTTTGTTGGTTGTTCAATGATTAAAAGAGCTTTTATTTTAGAGAATGAGGGTATTCGAATCGCTCAACTGCATTGCTTGTAAGAAACCGTGTAAGTTTCGCTTTTTAGTAATGAATTGCAAAATTAGATTTTTAAAGCATAAATAAAGTGGTTTTTGTTTTATTTTCCAATCTTTTAGTTGATCGAGCTGCTAATCAACTTCGATCTCCACTTCAGTTGGGTTGTGGATTGGCCATGTGTGATGAGTGTTTCAAGAAAGAGGTTGAGACGGACGAAGAAGAAAGAAAACATCAATGTGGAAATAGTGCCTGTTTCCGCAACGGAGAGTTTGCCTACTTTTTGATTGGTGAGTTTTATTATGATTTTTATTTTGAGTAAAAGCTGATTAATCAATTGAATTGTTTTAGATGTTTTGTCCCAAGAAAGCGCTTTGGTCTTTACTCCAATGGGATATTTCCTTGTGAAGGTTGGATTTGGGATTTACAAATCATAGTGATTCTTTTAGCCTTTCAACATTCCGGAATGTCCAATTTGTTATGATGAATGTGAGTTGTGAGTGTGAGATGAGTGATGATGACTGCTACATTTTTTTTTTGCTTCAGATTCGGATGTAATTGATGCGAAGAAATCGTTTGCTCTTCAATGTGGGCATATCATTTGCACGGAATGCTGTTTGAAGACATGTCAGAAGTATTATTCAAATGAATATAAAATCAATTGTCCAACTTGTGGAAAGACATATGATACGTACACTACTGTCAACAAACAGAAAGATAGATTTCATGGTAGATGAAATCTTTTTACATTCACTAATTCTTCTTTAGACTTTTTAAATGAACTACCCGAAATGACTCGACAAATGGAAACAATTAAGGCAGCAATTGAGGCTTTAATGAATGCTAAGGATGCACGTAGCTGCAACGAATGCCACAAAAAGGTATCACTTCTTAAATTTATTTCTATGAAGATATATTTTAGGATACTATCGACAAGATGTTTTACTGTAGCGCATGCAGCTTTGAAGTGAGTGATCGTTAGCATTGAAAAATACTTTTTAATCTACAGACTTGTGCTGTTTGTGCTTACAAAAAACATCGTTTGCATGAAGCCATTCCTCTATTGGAAAAACAGGTATCTTTTGCATCTTGTTATTAGTTTTGTTAGTTTGGAATTGAAAGGCGTACCATATTAATTTCATTTGTTTAGGCTAACCAAATGTTGATGGAACTTCAACAAGAGTCAAGAAATGTCATCAAGACGTACAAGGATTTGGTTCCTGAACTACACAAGGGACTTCTCGAGGGCATTGACATCTTTGAAACGGCATTTTTATCAAATAAAACCAATTCAAGTCGATATTTCTTTAGAAATTACTTTCGAAAGAAGAAACTCTCAAGGACGCTTTAACTTGGATCAATTTACAGGAAAAGCATGAATCATTTACGTAACTTTTGACACTTTAAATAATATAGATTCGTTGTTTAGAAAGATGAAGTCCAAATTCGAGTCATCCGCTGAGAATTACTTGCCTCATTTGCGCAGATTCGATTCTGAGGTCAAGGTGAGTTGATTGGGTTTTAAAAGAATTTAATTTAATTTTTTTAGCAATTGATTCAAACCCTCAACGAGACCCATGATGTCTAGGAAATCCGAATACAAGATTATATTGAAAACTTCTAATTAATAATTATTTTCATGTATTTTGCGAATAAAGTGCCGAATAAAGCATATTTATTGAGGCAGATTTCCAAGTTTAAGGGAACGGTGCTATCTAAAAAAACACAATATATTGTAGAACAAAAATCAAGCGCTGCCAAAATCCGCTTCCTTGACATCACTTCCAATTCTTCAGTCACTTTTTGAATAAGTTCTTCTTTGGTTCGATCCTAGTCAAAAAGTTATTCAAAGTGCAACAAAAACTTACAATCAGACAAAATGAAATCATGTTTGCGAGCTTGTCAGCATCCAAACAATTCACGGCTATCTCCGCCAAAAGATTTCGCTTGTGAAGCCAACAGTTTAAGGGAACTGTGTTATCAAAAACAACCATTAATTTTAACATTTTCAATTTACCTGAATCTTTTGGCTTTGGTGGGAAATCTCTGCTTCGTTTTCTACTTGGCTTTGGTGATGGATTCTTCAAGAATGCTTCATGATTCCTCAAGATTGAAAGGCCAATGAATTTTTTTAATTTCCTTGGAAATGGAAAAGGAGCAGAGAAAGCCACCGATCCCAACAGAAATGTTTGTTTCTCCGAAGATTGGACAGAATCTGTATCGAAAGTTCTGGGGGAATCGGTCGAAATCATTTGATAATCGCTTTCCAGGAGCACAACAAATACGGACGATTGGAGAATCAATTCCTGTTCTCAACGACCACCATTACGGCTCATCTTTCCAAAAAAAAATCGTCAAATTGAGCCGTTTCAAACTTAAATTCCCTGTTATTTGTAAATCGTGATTTACTCAATTCACTTTACTGCACGGCAGATGTGAGCCAACTGTTGCCATTGGGTGAATAAACAATTGTGAATGCTTTAAACAAGATGTAAATGGACTAAAAGGCAAGGTCTCAATCATTCTATGCAAAACTCATCAATCATTCTCAGCAATGAGCTTCCCACTCCTCAAACTTAGTCTGAATATTGGTAAATTATTGAGGAAATCCTTGCGTCCTCATTCTATTTCTTGCCTCAAATCATTGTTGTTTTGTAGCAGTTTTCGTTTTAATAAGAAATCCCTATTTTGTGTGGCAAAAAATTTCATGTTTGATTATGTCTTTTCTCATCAATTCTGCTTCTTTGGTATCTGTTTCCTTTAATTTTCACTTGTTCTTCGGGAAAATTCAGTCATCTTGTAGGCATCCAATCGTCCCGCAACCGAAATGGACAATCTCTCGAATCTTCCTCCTCGATGTCTTCAGAGCATCTCTCCTTTTTCCAAATCTCCAGAAATGCCCGAAATGACTGAAGAATTGCCTGAAAAGAGTGTCAAACGCATAGAAGAATCGGCCATCTCGTTGAAGAAAATCGCCCAACTCGAAACCGATTTGTGGGTTTTTCGCCAAATCTTTGCTTCTATCAAAAACAGTCTTTAATTTAATCAAAGAGTTTAGGGAAGAAATGAAAAAGGGCAAAGACATCGAGATGAGTCGATGGACAGCAAAAATCGCTCAAATCGAGGCGAATTTGAAAATCGCGAAGTTGGAGGCTGATTTGGTTGAGGAAACCTCAATTCCCTCTCGACCTCAGCATTTTTCTCCCTCGTTTCGTTCAACTCCCTCTCGCTGAACAACTCTAGCCAGTCAAATCCTAACAGTTTTCAACGTACAAATCGGCTTTCAACGCGGAAAAGGTCCTTGGCATTTCGGCGACTTTGGAATCTCTAGATGTGTCTCAGTCTCAGATATTTCTTGAAGGGATCTCAAGACTCACATCTCGGCTTTCAAATCAGCACCAATCTTCGTCGGTCGTTCGCAGAGTTCGCAGATTTTTCCTCGAGCCTCGACGAGTTCTTGTTGGGATTTACTCCTGAAAAGTCTTGTCATTGGGACACGCAAACCTATTTCTTGTTCATTCTACCAAATTCGCTTTATTGATTTGCTTTTCTCCAAAAAACCCGCAAACTTCTTTGACAAGACCTCAAATTGATGGGATAGACAAATTGATGGGTATAACTTGACGACCAGCCCTCGTCTCTAATGCTGAAATCTAAGATCATCGAAAATCCCTTTCTGACCTACTTTGACGAAGAAATTTGATGGCAAAGAAGGAGAACCGGGATGAATAGAGCGACGGCCATCACACCCATTCCGACTAATTGGTGAATTCGTTTTGAATTCAAGGAAATGGGAAGAATGAATGAAGCGACGATGCCAAAGTGCCAAAGTGAAAGTTTTGACGGCCCAAAGGGCAGGAATAACTGTTTTGACGAGCTGACGAGACTAAAGGTTGAATTTTTCTTATTGAAAGGCATAATGTTAAACTTAATTCTTTTTTGAGATTTTTTCAGCCATTTTCGGAACGCTCTTTGTAAAAAAAGATTCGTTTGACTGATAGTTCTTTGATAGAAATAATGGTTTCGATTGGGAAACCAGAATGATTTCAATAATTAGAAAGGAAAATCGGATAGAAATCATAGTTTGAATTGAAAGACTAGAATAGTTTTAAAATGTTTTAAATAGTTTGAGTTGAAATGAAAAAAAAATTGGTTGAAATAGCAACAGTAAAACATAAAAATTTCTTTATTCAGAAAAATCCGAGCAAAGGAAATGCTTTTGAATGGACGGATGGAAGTTCGGTGGATTTCACGAATTGGTATCCGGGAGAGCCGGATTGGAGCACCCACGGTGTGGTGAGACTTTCAACGTGAAATATTTATATTTATCTCAGTATTTATTCTAATTTCCAATGCATAGTTAATCCTAAAATATCTGGATAAATCTTAGGAAATTTCTTTGTGTAGAATAACGCAAAGTGTTTTATCCAAGTATTTCCATCAGAAATGAACACATTTCAGCTTGGGGGCGACGATGAGAAATGGGTGGCCATTTCTCCTACCGATCAGCTTCCTTTTATTTGCAAAAGGAGCTCTCAGTTCTGAGAAATGCTTTATCTTCCTATCTTTCGACAAAAACCAATAAATCCCATTTATTTCAATCTTCTGAAAACACACAACTGCAGATTGTTTTTTTCTAGAATAGAATAACGGCATAGATCGAAAGCTCGGCGTTCCGTGATTCGATCGGGCGGCGATTAATTTGCTATCATGTTGTGGAGTGGCTCTGAACACTGAATCTGTTTGACTGATCATGTTTGTTCTGGTTAGTTTCGAGAATAATTTAGTACTAATTCCATGTCACCATCCTTGTATCAGGACTGTATGTTTTCAAACTTTGTATTTTTTGAAGGTAAGCAATACTTTTTTCAAAGTTAGGATTAAAAAGCGTGAATACTCGTTTACATTAGATCGGTGATATCTACAAATTGTTTGACTTACTATCTTAAATGCAAATTTTGGAAGCTATGACTAGTGGTGTCGACAACTTACGTTGAGCTTAGCATTGATATGTTCTCGATTGCGTTTCATGTTTGTTTTGGGTCAGGATGCAGTCACGATTTGTCCCAAATTTATTCTAATCATAAAGCATTAACTTCCACCCAATTGATATCGATCCATACATTCGAAACCGAAGCCATAATACGAGCAGAGAGTTTCCCCATCAGCTGACCAATTCACGTCTTTCCTTGCACAAACTGCTTGAAAGTACTGAGTACACGTGCCCCAGTTGCCAGTTTTTTCTTGCTAAAATAATTTCTTTATAAAGAAGAAAAAAAAAGAAGATAGACGGTATAACTTGACGACGAGCCCTCGTCTCTACTGCTGAAATCTAAGATCATCGAAAATCCCTTTCTGACCAACTTTGACGAAGAAATTCGATGGAAAAGAAGGAAAATCGTGATGAATAGACCGACGGCCATCACACCCATTCCGATCGATTGGTGAATTCGAAATTCAAGGTTTTGAATTCAAGGAAATGGGAAGAATGAATGGAGCGACGATGCCAAAGTGCCAAAGTGAAAGTTTTGACGGCCCAAAGGGCAGGAATAACTGTTTTGACGAGCCGGAATAGATGTTTGAGAATGAAATTTTGAGCATTTAAAAGTCGCTTTCTGAGGTCATTACAAACAGACAGACAGTTATTTTTAGATTCACAATACTACTAGTTTTTGTGGAGGCTTTATAATTGCTTGCTTTTGGTGTGAAAAGGAAGATAAGAATCTAATAAATCGAATCTATCACCTTGCATCTTTCGATTTTGCGATGTCACCGAGTTAAAGGCTTCGAAAAAAAGGGGTTCCCGGGGTTCTCCGTTGTAAATGACGCTTTTTCCCCTAAAAAACGATTTTTCAAAAAATCTGTCAGGAGAATTTGGAAAATTTTTCCTGTTTTCAAATGAGAGATTCGGAGACATTGAAATGAGACTTTAGACTCGCGAAAATCACCAAGTCTTCAGTCTCCAAAATGCCAGAAAACTGCACCAGAAAACTGGCAATGCAATTTTTGATTCAAAGCACTTTTAGCTAAAACACAGCGGCCCCGCCAGTCGAGCAGAAATGTTGTTGATGACACAAGTTGGTGAAGGCTCTACCTCTCTTGATCGAATTCCTTGAGATGATCATCAGTTCTCTGGTTACTTTCACTTACACTATTGGTTTCTATTTCGTTGGAAACGTTTCGAATTTATTTTTCAACTGGGATGTTGCCAATATGTTGATGTCTGTTCGTGATTTCGGCCACGCGTTTCTCTTCAAACTGGTTTTAAGGTTAGTGCACAAAATCATATTTACTGTAGATTAAGCTCATTTTAACACTTACAATGTTTATTGTAGTATAAATCATCTCATTTCAGTATAATCACCGCACTTTTCCTCCGAAAACCGAAAGAAAAGTCGGCAAGGACAAGAAATTCGATCACTGTGACTGTTCATCCATCAAAAGGCCATTGAAACGGCATAATTGTGATATTGAACTGTGATAATATTATATCTGAATAAAGCTTTATGTTTAAATAGTTGATAGAAAACAAAGATAAAAAGTAAAATCAGAAATGTAAATCTTAGCTAATTCTTATGTTTCTTATGTTCTTACCTTAGCTTATGCACTCCGCGTTGTTGAGTTGATGTTGATGACCATTTTACGGTTTTGAAGTTTTTGCAGAAGCTCAACACTCTAATCCCCCGCAAGATCCCATCATCAGCTACATTTTCCGCCCCACATCGATAGGTTCTGATAAGCGGTTTTCGAGATTTCGAGGAATTTAGGCAACGCTCTATCTATTAGAGAGAATACGGTAAGTGAAATAAATGGAAAGAAACAATTCATCGAAAAGGGAACATCAAAATTGAACAAAGGCAGAAAAATTATAGGTTTTTGGCAATCTTTACAAAGTTTTTTTTCTTGTGGTTTCTGCTTTCAAATATGAGTTTTCCTTTAAAATGAGTATTCTGCGATTTTTCACACTCATTTCTATGTGTAGAGAAAGGTTTAGAAAGTCGAAAAGTCACTTGAAATGGCCTACAGTGGCGGACAATTAAATAGAACCGATGCTCGATTTGCACAAAGACCATGAATTTTCTATTATTTGCACATCCACTCAAAAAGACATCAGCAGCTCTTTTTTTATGTTATCTTAGCTTTCGATTGGCACCGCTCTTAGCTGAAAGCTCTTTCTCTGTAACTTGGTAGTTTAGGTTTTCTTCAGCCTACCCCATTATAGCGACGACAATCAAATAGAACCGATCTTGAAATCTGCTTTTTTTCGAAACTTTCGATTTAGTTAGTTTTGTTGCAAGTTTTCTCTATTTAGATATGGGGCGAGGTATTCATATCACACCATTTCAAAGACAGGAAGCTGTGAAACTACGGAAAGAGGGCAAGAGTTTTGCGGAAATTGGTTGCGCACTGAAAATCTCGAAAGCTGCTGCCGTGAAAGCCGCAAAGCATGTCGAAACAACAGGATCTATTCAGAATAAGATACGGAAACGATCTAGAAAAACTACGTCCCGCGAAGAACGGATCATTCATCGACTTTCTGAGGCCAATCGTCACAAAACTGCCCTTGATATTCATTCTGAAACCATTGGATGCCTCGCAAGAAGTGTCACTGTGCGAACTGTTCAAAGAATTCTTAGTCGCTATGGATTGATGGGTCGAGTAGCAAGAAAGAAGCCCCTTATCTTCAAGAAAAACCAAAAGGAACGTCTAAAGTTTGCCCGAGAACATTAGTCGTGGACTGACGATGATTGGAGCAAGGTTTGTCATTTGTATTATGCCAAAAAAGTTTTGTTTTTGAAATCCAGGTACTATGGACGGATGAATCAAAGTTTAATTCGATGGGTTCCGATGGAAAAATGTATGTTCGACGTCGCGTGGGCGAGGCTTTTAGTCCAAAATGCACCAAGGCCACGTTGAAGCATGACCCAACATCAGTCATGATCTGGGGTTGTATGACTACTGAAGGTGCCGGGCCTGTATATCGTGTTCAATGAATTATGGATCAACATCAGTACGTGGATGAAATTAGACCATGTGGTTGAGTCATATTCAAACACTCTTCCTAAAAACTGGATTTTCCAGGTGGGAATTAAGAACGTCTTTTGCTGACACCAACCGTCTAGGCTGACAACGATCCCAAACACACGTCCAAAAAAGCAAAAACGTTCCTCACCAATCAGGGATGGAAGATCTTGAAATGGCCGCCACAAAGCTCTGATTTATCGCCAATTGAAATGCTTTGGATTGATGTAAATAGAGAAATAAGGGCCCAGAAACCAAAAGGAAAAGATGCCCTATCCAAAGTTATCGAAACGGCTTGGAACAAGATACCAGCTGATCGTTGCAAGAAGTTAGTTAAATCAATGAAGCGTAGACTCTTGGAAGTCATTAAAAACAAAGGTTTTGCCACTTCATATTAATTTTTACGATCGGTTCTATTTAAATGTCGTCATTTATCAAACACACTTTTGTTAATTGTTGAGTTATTAAATAAATACTAAATTATGTTTGGTCAAAAGTGGTGCCAAACGAAATCTAAGATAACATCAAAAAAATAGCTGTTGATGTCTTTTTGAATGGGTGTGAAAATAATGGAAAATTCGTGGTCTTCGTGCAAAGGAGCATCGGTTCTATTTAATTGTCCGCCATTGTATAGTCTTTCTAAAGGAAAAGATGGAGTATTTCAATAAGAATTTAGACACAAACCCTAGAAATATTTGCCGGGCTTTATAACCATTTTTTTGACAAGCATACGCTCTTACAGCTCAAATTTACAGCGAAATGATAGAAATTCGCATTTTTGCCTACATTTTCTTCACATTATCTCCCAGGTGCTGGTTTGAACAAATTCTTGTATCTCACATTGCGTTTCTCCCAAGTAAAACATTTTCACAAGTTAAATTTGAGAAAAAACTACTCTCTTACTGTCTTTCAATGAACATTAGCTTTCTTCATTTAATAACTACCCACAATAATAAAGTTTCCAATCAAGCCCATACGAGTTTCTGTCTTTTCTGATCTCCATGATAACTTTGATCCAACCACGGGACGCCGAGCTTTCGATCTATGCCGTTGTTCTAGTTAAATTGGACTAATAGGGACTCCTTGGATTGAAAAGAGATCTTTGTTAAACTCAAAGCTATTTTGGAACAGCATCTCTCTCGCCGGACCTCTTCACTCGCTACTCGTGCCTCAGAGATTTTGGATTTGGTCAAAGGAATTCGCTTAGCTACACGTAATTCTTCGCAAACATCGCCGAGAACATCACGAGGCAAATGAATGGGGAATTTCGAACCAAATCCATTTTGATTGCTTTCTGTTTGACATCACTAACGGGCACCTTACAGAACCAACAGTGCGTCGAAAAAAAAAGCCTAAATCGAATTATTGAGAACTTTAGGAACAAAAATCAAAGACAAATCGACTAATAGTCTATCTAGGAGCGACGAGAGAGCAAAATACTTGCAGCTTCAGGCGGAATTCTGGGTTTCTTTTTATGAGATTTTGAACAAACAATTCAGAAACAAAGAAAAAGATAACGTGCAGTGTTGTGTTTTCAGAAAATTGAATAAAATGGGATTTATTGGTTTTCACAGAAAGGAACATAAAGAATTGATCAGAATTTAGAGCTCCTTTTGCAGATAAAATGATACTGAAAGGTAGGATGAGAGGTCCCCCATTTCCCATCGCCGCTCCAAAGCTGAAAGGTGTTCATTTTTGATGGAAATCCTTTGATAAAACATCTGCGCTATTTTAGACAAAGAAATCTCCTAAGGCTGATTCAAATATTTTTGGATTAATTATGCATCGGAAATAAATAACTGATAGATAAATAATAGATTTTATGTTGAAAATCTCACATCAGCGTGGGTTTCCGAACGCGGCTCTTCTTCATCCCAATTCGTGAAATCCACCGAACTTCCATCCGTCCATTCAAAAGCATTTCCTTTGTCCGGATTTCTCTGAATAAAGAAATTTTTTTCATTTTAAAACTATTCTAGTTTCCCAATTGAAACCATTATTTCTATCAAAGAACTATCAGTGAAACGAATCATTTTTTTCAAAACGTGCCTTCCGACAATGGCTGAAAGAATTGTTACTTTCTCGCTATTAGCCATACAATAATCGCTATTAGCCATACAATAATTACTTTTACGCCTTCTATTCCTTTCCATACTACACGAGCCAGGCCCGACCCAATCCTCATTCCCTTGTAAGATTTTAGTAACTGAACTAAGAGTTTAAGAACTAGCAAGTGAATGGCTAGAAATGGAAGTGATCGTTTGGCATGAGTGATACATCATTCGATAGATCTCATAGAAAAATTCAACCTTCAGTCCGATCCAGAACGACGCATCCGAATAAACGGTTTTCGCTGAAATAAATATCGATTGTTTTTGGTTTATAAAACATAAATTTATACGAAAATCATGAATTTTCAAAATTGAATCATTTCGATTTCTCACCGAGTTTCTCAACAAAATCGTTCTCTTCCTGACTGTGAATGGAGACTAGATGGATCTTTCGACTCGCACAATATGCCGCAGCTTCATCAAATGTCATTCTTTGATCGATAGCCTGGAGATGAAGATAATCCTGGTTCACAAAATCCACCAAACCTTGTACCAAGAAGCGGTTTTTGCCAAATACGACCATCCATCACGATCCACGAAGGTCAACGTTTGATTTCTGAATCTCTTCGAAAAACTTTACTCACGATTTTTCAGACAAATACCCAATCCTTTTTCTTAAAAAAAACTCACAAATCTGTCTGCCACTTCACCAGTTCGGCCGTTTTGATTCTTTCAAATTGTCTAGAGAGAAATTGATTGCATTGAGTGGAATGGGTGTTTTGGGAGTGGAAAAACTCTTTTCTCAAGTCCCAGTCGACAAGAGATACCAAGTAAACTCACATTTGGGTTTCGAGGTCAAAGTTTTTGCTCTGCAACGCATTGATTTTCCCTTCGAGCTCTCCATTCTTGGCTTTCCCCTCTTTCACTTCCGTATTTTGGTCGCTTCTAAAAAAAGTCCGATTTTTATCGATATTCTATGTTGAGCCTGTCTAACAGGAAATTACAAAATTAGTACAATTGTGCTTCAAGATCGTCGTTCTTCCTTTTTGTCTCGGCGATTTTCCTTTCCAAATCTCGATTTCTCTCCCTTCCGTCAACCAAATCAGCCTCCAGCTTCGCGATTTTCCCCATTAAATTTGCCTCGATTTGAGCAATTTTTGTCGTCCATCGACTCATCTCGACGTCTTTGTCCTTTTTCATTTCTTCCCTAAACTCTTCGATTAAATTAAAGACTGTTTTGGATAGCAGCAAAGATTTGGCGAAAAACCCACAAATCGGCTTCGAGTTGGGCGATTTTCTTCAACGAGATGGCCGGTTCTTCTATGCGTTTGACACTCTTTGCAGGCAATTCTTTAGTCATTTCGGGCATTTCTGGAGATTTGGAAAAAGAAGAGATGCTCTGAAGACATCGAGGAGGAAGATTCGAGAGATTGTCCATTTCGGTTGCTAGACGATTGGATGCCTACAAAACGACTGAATTTTCTCGAAGAACAAGTGAAAATTAAAGGAAAAGCTACTAAAGGGGCAGAATTGATGAGAGAAGACAAAATCAAACAAGAAATTTGTGGCCAAGCAAAATAGGGATTTCTTACCACGGAAAATAAAGAGAAAGGAGGGGAATGCCCGATTCGTTTAGTCATCGGTCGTCAACCAAGAACAATCAATACTCATTTCAGCGAAAACATAAAACGAAAACTGCTACAAAACAACAATGGTTTGAGGCAAAAAATAAAATGAGGACGCAAAGATTTCCCTAATAATTTACCAATATTCAGACTAAGTTTCAGGAGTGGGAAGCTCATTGCTGAGAATGATTGAAGAGTTTGGCATAGGATGATTGAGACTTTGCCTTTCAGTCCATTTACAGCTTCCCTAAAGCGAGATAAGCAAGATCTTTGTTGTGCTCCTCGAAAGAGATTATCCAATGATTTCGATCGATTCCCCCAGAATTTTCGATACAGATTCCGTCCAATTTTCGGAGAAACAAACATTTGTGTTGAGATCGGTGGCTTTCCTCTGCTCCAAGAACTTTTCCATTTCCAAGGAAATTCAAAAAATCATTGGCCTTTCAATCTTGAGGAATCATGAAGCATTCTCGAAGAATTCTTAACAAAACTGTGCTTTCTTTATACCGTTCTGATAAATCTAGGCTGGACACTTACTCAAAGAAGCCGATGATGACTGTTTTCACGCTTCGCTTTGCTTCGGCACTGTATGAAAAAGTGTAAAATTAGTATAAAAGTATAAGTATAAAAAATTACTAATCATCACTTGAATCCGAATCTGACGAGCTTGAAGAAGTAGTATCAGAGTCACTGCCGCTGTCGATGTCATCGCCGGATGATGATGAAGAGGATTCAGCGCTTGATTCGGCGTCAGATTTCTTCCTCTTTCCGGCTTTTTCCAAAAACTCGCGAAGACCCACCCTAAAATTTATACATTTATTAGCTTTCTGAAATCTTTCTTACGTCAGTCCACCAAGACCGATTAATGTGAAGAAATTGATGGCGAAGCAAGTATTGGCTGGGTTGTCCCGAGGAAAAAGTCCCTCAAACGCATGTAGCAATTTACTAAAGATTATTGAATTCTAGAAAACCTCTAAACTTACGGATCACAGATTCTTTCATACAGCTTTTGAAGTCCCATCATTTGGGCCAATTCAGGGAAAATGGTTTTGATGTAAATCCTGCCCGAAGAAGTTGTCTCATTCTCGTTCAAATCGATTTGGCTCAAAACCTAAATTTGAACACTTTAAATATGGAAAAAAGTAAATATTCGCATAAAGACTTACATCCCAAGTAATGGCATCTGTAAAAAGCAAATGAGTGATTAAACGAGCCATATTCCTCAGTCTCGTAATATCAAGGCGATGGATAATTTGACAAGTCTCTCGAGCTATCGTCTCAAGAGTAGCCTAAAATAAAAAATAGTCATATACTTCTGAAACTCACTTGAAATTCACGTCTCAGCCCACAAAAACGCTCGATTTTGCTCAGTGTTGTCAATGATTTGCTGTGCACAACAATCAACGAGCATGTCAATGAGTTCCGGCTAAAATGAAAAAAAAAATGTGGCTCTCTTCTATTAATTACCTTAAAATTTAACAAAAGCGGGTTCCACGGTTAAAGTACCTAGTAATTGGAGAGAGCCAAAAATGTTTTATATTTTATCAATAAGCCCAACCTCCAACTCTGCCTGATACCCATTTTGAGGAGTTTGTGAGCGGCCTTTTAATAGTAGAGCGATGTCAAGTAAACTTCGCGACGGAAGGGAACGAGATTTTGCTCAGTGTTGTCAATGATTTCCATTTGTTGAGGTTGAGCTGAAATAAGTATTTAAATATTGCATTAGATTCGTCTCAAGCTTTATAAAATTTAAATCGATAAAATTGAATTTCTACCGTTTGCAGCCGCCTCATCGTCACTTTCTTCATCCTCGTCCTATTCTTTTGATTCCTCTCCACTTTCAACGGCGTCACCAACGATTTGTTCAAGGGCTCGTTGAAGGCAGCTTCATGTTTCTCAAAAACGGGATCCAATTTGAAAATGTCTGTAAAGTTTGTTTGAAAGCCAAGTTGATCGAAAATTTAATTTTTTAGGTATGTGTAATTTGGTCCTCTTCCGAAATAGGGTCGAGATCATCAATTAAAGCTGGGTAGTCCTTAAAGAATAAACTTTGCCAGGCAATAGAACTAAAAAGTGACCGCAAATTTATCTCTCCCAATTGCAACTGCAGTTTTAATCATATAACGAATACGTGAATCCAATTGTGCTTCAGCAAGAATGTTTCGAAGTCTTGAGAAAACATTGTCCAAGGCAATCTAACAAATCATTTCTCAATAAGCGCTTCTACATAAGGCAAACCTCTGTCAGTTTCGCGCCACATTCTTCCCGAAAAGCAATACACACTTCCACTGAATCTTCCGTTGGTGTTTTAAGCATCAAAAGCATGATCTCAAGAGCAAGCAACCCGTGAGCCTAAATATGCATCGCATCCATATTCAAAGAAAAACAGCATACCACTTGTGGATTGATCAAATGTGCGATGTCGAAAATGTCAAAAATTTACTGACAGTCACCGTTGTTGCTTTGTCGTCTCGACGAAAAGGTAGCTTGAACTGCACAATCAAACGCCTAAATGCATAATTTCTAAAGCCTAAAACTGTGAAACATACTTAAGTGTGTCAATTCACCAATAACAGAAAAGTTGGAATTAATCCCTCCAACCAAACCAGCGTATACTTGTGAAAATGTTGGAGAAAAGACTTGTGCTTGAATCATCGATCCGTTCAGCAAACCCTTAAAATTTTTTTACTTGAGAAAATGCTAAAAAACAAACTTTCCGCGGATAATGTTTTCTTGAAGAATCTCTGGAACAATTCCAACAAGATTGCTGGCGTTGACTTTATTGACGAGACCGTGGATCTTTTTCTTCAGACGCTCCCAATTCTATCGTTGAAATTGCTCACCCGATTTATCCTAAATTTTTTCCGTGGCCACGTTATCATTTGATGCATTACCTGGATTTGTTCTTGCATCAACTTCAACTTGGCTGGTGGGATATATGCGCCTCCAGTGCGAGAACGCAATAAATCAACAGGTTCTTTCCTTTCCTAAAATGTATTTACTTCAACAAAGTTTTCTTGTATACTTTTTGAGGAGCTTCATTTTCTTTTGCCTTTTCTGGTGATTCTTCACGTCGAGCACATTTTGGTGTTAGCGACCTAAATCACTAATACTGAATGCAACCCAGGTTAAATTACCGTTTCCGCCGTTCAGAACTGGCATCACGCTTTGGTGATCGAGACCTAAATAATTTTCATGAAAAAAGGTGCAAAGCTCTATTACCACCTTCGCCTTTCTGGAGAAGCTTTACGTTTAGAAGATGGTCCCCTAAATCAGCTGTAAACAAAGGCAATTTTTAAAACTAACCGTCTTCGCCTTCGGTGAGCGGTCGCCACCTCTGCGTCTTCGGGTGAACGTTCATGGCCTTTTTTCCGAGCCCTGGCTCTCGCGGCTTTTCGTTACTAAAGAGACTTGGTTTTGGCTAGCAAAATCTTTTAATCTACCAACCTGCCAATGTACTCGTCTCTGGAGAGCCTTCCCCGGAGCCAGATGGAGTCCCTTGAGCGGTCGGTGAGTCACCCATCTTAAACTACCTAAATGTTTCATCGTCACAAAACTGAGTTCTGATAGTTCTAATAGTGCTTCACACAACAGCGACAACATTTCCTTTTAATTACAATGTAAACTTTCCGGTTTATAGGTATTGCGTTTGATTCATGCACCCTGAACCGTTAATATAATTAACTCAACAAACTAAACTTTATTCATAAAAATACGGAAGAGATCAATAATAACGTTACACACTCAACAAGTTAGCAAGATGATAAATAATGAAAACTAGGCGATCAACTTTCCGAGTCTTCGGCGCCTCCGATGTAGAGGATGTTGTTGCACCTAGATTTAAACAAATAGACAAAAGTCTCATTAATCACCTTATTAAAATTTCTCCCAAAGCTCCAGTGTTTGTTCCATCAATGTATTCCTCCGCGTTAGCCATAAAAGATAAAAAATTCATTTGTGAATGCCTAGGCCTAAGCAAGCTTACTCGTCCTGTATCTCACTGTTCACAAGCGACATAAAAACTAACAAAATTCAGAACTCACCTCGCCAAACTGGCTTTAAGCTATGCCATAAAAACTTTACACAAAGACAACCCCACCTGGACATCCATGTAACCGTCGACCGAGATGAGGACGCCTCGATATTCCATTCCCCACTTCAGTCTGCACACAACTGGCTTTCCGGCGAGTCCATTGAGGAACGGCTTTGGGTTGACTGGTTGAACAGACATTCTCTGAAAACAAAATTAAAAACGAATTTAAATAGATAAAATGATAAAAAGAGCCTTAAAAAGAAGGAGTCCTCGTAAATATAAAGAACGGTTTTTCGGAATAATTTTTGGAAGAAGAGGATTCGAATACAAGACCGGCATATAACTAGGCGCCCTATAGAGGGACAGTGTGGTTTTTGCACGAGAGAAGAGAAAGGGTGACAGAAATAGAAAGGCGTAAAGATGTAAGATTGGCTAATTCAAGAGCACGCGAAAAATAAAATAATTGCTCGACTAAAGTTTTTTAAACTACTAGAAGTTAAAGATTTTCAGCTAAATAATTAACGTCTACATTTTTGGAAATAAAATGATTATGAGAGTGTATTTTGAGAAATTTTCGGCGCTAAAGCTTACACCTTTTTAAACATTTTTTATTTTGATGATACTAGCTCAACGCCCCCCTCTTCATCTCATTATTTTACCTCTTTTTCGTCATAAAAACACAAAATCATTTAAGCAATTTTTCAAGAGGGC